TCGCCGTTTATCCTCCTGTGCAAGTGATCCAAGTGAAATCATGATAATCATTTTCATCATCATTACTTAAGTTTCATATTAACATTAGAAAATATTGAAACCGGAATGAAACGGCAAAAATGCACAGTGTAAAGAAAAAAAATCGATTTATCATTTTACACCAGCAGTTGATTGCCCCCCTACTTCTAGATGCCTAGGGCCTAGGGGGGACCATTTAAGCAGGCCACGACTCCGAGGTATTTGAGCGACTGCAGTGCGTAGATCGCAGGACCGCATCTCGAATGTGAACTGAACGGAAGTATGTTCAAGAAAGAAACATTGCCACGATCCGCAGGAGAAGTTGAGTTGTATCTTTTAGATTTATTAATATTCATTAATTCTTAGTATTGTCAACGGCGACTATGCACTTAACAACATCATGACCATGACTCAACTAGTGCGTATTGGCCGTCATATGATTATTCGGTTATGTTACACTCCGAACTACATTAAAGTTTAAAGTTACGATATTCTTGAGCATTGCAAATCAGCTCATTCGTAGTAATCATCCGTTGCCTTATGCCCCTGCAGTCGGATTTCGCACGGCGTCTGTCTTCTGTGAGGTTGTTTAATCACTGGAGATGCAGAATCCGGCGAAAATCGAACTCAAGGAGTGTTACGTGTGTGGACAGATGATATCAGCTCAGCGAGCGGTGACGGCATTGGGTCGTGACGTATGTCCTCAGCATCTGACGTGTTATCGATGCAACACTCGACTGGACTTCGACGTATGGGCGATCGGCTCGGCAATATACTGCGAGCGATGCTTCGAGGTTGTGAAAAAATCCTTCAGGTGCACCGGCTGCCAGGGCCTCATTGCGGACACAGCGCTGAAAGAACTCGACGGCTACTGGCACAAGAGTTGCTTCGTCTGCCAAAAGTGCAGAAGGCCATTTCCATCAAACAGGTATTGTGTCGTTGAAAAGAAACCCTATTGCATGCAAGACGCCCAACAGATAATTAAAGAGGCGCTATCGAAGTAAAACGGCCAAGCAGCGCTTCGCTGTCTTTTTGAACATGGCTGTTTTCCTAGAACGCTATGTCATCCTTTCTGTTGCTTAATATGGACAGTATATTTACAATTCTTGGTTTCGCTTCATTTCCATACAACGTGCAATGTCAACTGTAAAAGCACAAGGAGTCGAGGAACATTCTGAGTCAAAACGCAGTTCAGAAAAATTCCAGCCGGCTGATTGCAAACCAATGGAAGGACAGAAATTTTCGTCAGTTCGTCTTACCTTTTTGCACGAGTCTGAAATATGACGCTGAAAATGGTTCTAACCAGGATCGATACCAATAACACGCAGAGCTACAGAATTGTGTCAGCTGCAAAAGCAGTTGAGATGCATGGAACAGAATCATTCTGAGACTCTTATGATTAATAAACTTTCATTACGAATATGTCTGAAACTACTAGTAAAACTTTTTTGACCTTCAAGCATATTGATGCCTACAGTTTGTGAAATATACAGACTTAAAACCAGGTCCGACAATCCATAGAGCCCCTTAGTTGTTTCACGTTTTAATGGCAGGAGATCTCTCCAGTGCAAGTGAAGTCGAAAGAGAAAACTTCTAGAAGAACTGCTGGTATTAAATTTGCCAAGTGGTATCACCTTCAGTAAAACGTTCTGCGTCAAATGTGGAAACTGAGGCGCATGCCGCCGTTGAGCTTAATAAAATAGACTGGTAAGAGAGTTCAGGTATGGGATCTTCAGGGATCTAGGAAAGTTCACCGATAACAATTCACCGACGGAAAATTCATCGATGGAAAATTTACCAACTGGAAAATTCACTGAACGAAAAATTCACCGACTGGAAAATTCACCGAGCGGAAAATTCATCGACCAGCAATTCGTCGAACGGAAAATTCACCCACTCTACAGTTAATCGCCGATGATTTATTTATTAAAAACCATGAAATGTAAAAAATCTTAATTTATTTCATACCATGAAGTATGTCAATATTTCTATAAAATTGAAATCTTTTGATTTCGAATTAATTCGCCTGAAAATGATAATGATGGATGATGTATGTAGCTTTAAATTTCGAATGAAACAAAATTCATTGGAATAATTTAATTGAAAATAAACTTCTGAAACATCATTTACATGCCTAAATAGTAATTTATACTACGTACCACACCCTCTCAAAAACTGTAAAACATGACTTCTGTCATAATTTGCAACTACTATGAAAAATCTCAGCGCAATCGTTACATTTCTTACGTACAGGGCTACCTTAATGGCCACTCACATATTGTTCAATTTGCAATGTTATAATGGTCTGCTCACTCTGAGTCGCTTCAATACACTTCGAGATATTCGGGTGTTGTACAGATATTTGTATTTCGAATCCATGATTCTATCCTAAAAATTGCATTTGTCTTTGGAAGACAGTGTCTTACTCCTTCGTGAGAGTTCCACATTTTCTGGGAGAAACAGACCATTCGGAGTCCCATGCGTCGTTGAGGACGTCCAATCCCTCAGTCCTCAAAGTAATCAATAAAGTGTTGTGCTTCTTTAGACATGTTATTACAGTTACCGCTTAAAACGTAAAATGCTTCTACCACATCTTCTGTTTGGAAAAGATCAACGCAGACAACAGTCGCATTCTCACAACAAATTCGACATTTTTTGAAGATTTTCTGCCTGAATCCTTGAAATATACACTACGAGAGATGCAAGAAACATTCTCGATGTCTAGCCCT